TGTAGCAGATTTGTCAGAGAAATCAGGAGTCCTCTCCAAGCACAAGATCCCAGTGTACTTCAGACCCAACCACACACTCAGACAAAAACTGGTTCATCCCAAAGACAAAACTACCAAACACAAACTTAACAACATAGTGTATGCTGTACAGTGCAGGTAGGAATGCTCAGACCTCTACATTGGACAGACCAAACAGCAACTTCATAAATGCATGGCACAACATAGAAGAGCCCCCTGGACAGGACAAGACTCAGCTGACCATCTGCATCTAAAGGACAAAGGTCACTCTTTTGAGGATGCCAATGTTCACATTTTGGGCAGAGATGGTTTGAAAGAGGAGTGAAAGAAGCCATCTATGTCCACTGTGAACGACCATCTTTGAACAAAGGCGGTGGCTTTCGACTCCAACTGTCTACCATCTATGATCCAGTTTTGAGATCCCTTCCCAGACGCCTTAACGCCCACTCACATCTTGCATCAGGTGATCTCAATAAGTCACATGATAGTTTGAGGCCCACTACCGAAGTCAACGACCCTCCCAAGGGACGTCTTGATGCATGCTCAATCATCCAGGTAAGTAAATCTCCAAAAGTTGATTCCGTTCATCTGGATGTAGCGTTTTGTGCGAGAAACGTTTCGTCACTCACCCAAGTGACTTGTTCAGTCTCAGCTGACTGCAGTTTTCCCCAATCTTATAAACAGTACATTTGCATAATGACTGAAACCAGCCCAGTGAAGGAACAATGGACTGGGAGGTCAGTTCTTTAATCTTAATTATGCAAATTCTCAAAAATGTACTGTTTATAAGATTGGGGAAACCTGTAGTCACTTGAGACTGAAGAAGTCACTTGGATGAGTGACGAAACATTTCTCCCACAAAACGCTACGTCCGGATGAACAGGATCAACTTTTGGAGGCCTCCCAAGGGACAACTCCCACTAGGTTTAAATACCCTGGACTCTCCACCATTTGGTCTTAGAACTGAAGAAGCTTCTCGGATGAGAGGAGAAACATATTCAAGAAACTTAAAGAAGTCCAGTTGCTTTTCTTTCCAAGCTTCTTAGATTACCATGACCTGGATGACTGAGAACCCTCACAGACATTTAATCCCTGAAATGTCTCAATGTAAAATGAAATGCAATATCACATGTCAGTTTTTCTACAAGACAAAGAAATGCCGAAGTAAATGAAGACATCTATGCTCTACTATATCAGACATCTATATCTTTCACCTTTTTCAGAAATTTCTGTATTGGATGGTAAAAAAGAAGGAACTTTTCTGTCATTTTTTTTATATCAATTAGTTAATTACTATGGTTTTCAATCATTCAGAAAAGTTACAAAATTCGTGAACATACAGTTCACATTTTCCAAAGCCATCAAGTGAACCGGACTGGTGTCTTTATTGGGCCAATTCTTGCTGCTGGGGCCATATGTTTGACACTCCCAATCTATACATCTTTTAAACCCCATTCCTACAAAACTGCTCAAAGAAGTCCTGCCATTAATTAATTCTTCGATCTTAAATATGATCAACCTATCTCTAATGATCGGCTATGTACCACAGGCCTTCAAGCTAGCTGTAGTTAAACCTTTACTCAAAAAGCCATCTCTAGACCCAGCAGTCTTAGCTAATTATAGGCCAATCTCCAACCTTCCTTTCATATCAAAAATCCTTGAAAGAGTAGTTGTCAAACAGCTAACAGATCATCTGCAGAGGAATGGTTATTTGAAGAGTTTCAGTCAGGTTTCAGAGCTCATCACAGCACAGAAACAGCTTTAGTGAAGGTTACAAATGATCTTCTTATGGCCTCTGACAGTGGACTCATCTCTGTGCTTGTCCTGCTAGACCTTAGTGCAGCATTCGATACTGTCGACCATAATATCCTATTAGAGCGATTAGAACATGCTGTAGGTATTACAGGTACTGCACTGCAGTGGTTTGTATCATATCTATCTAATAGACTCCAGTTTGTGCATGTAAATGGAGAGTCCTCTTCACACACTGAGGTTAATTATGGAGTTCCACAGGGTTCAGTGCTAGGACCAATTCTGTTTACATTATACATGCTTCCCTTAGGCAGCATCATTAGAAGACATAGCATACATTTTCACTGCTATGCAGATGACACCCAGCTCTATCTGTCCATGAAGCCAGATAACACACACCAATTAGTTAAACTGCAGGAATGTCTTAAAGACATAAAGACCTGGATGGCCGCTAACTTTCTGCTTCTTAATTCAGATAAAACTGAGGTTATTGTACTCGGCCCTGAAAAGCCTAGAAATATGGTATCTAACCAGATTCTTACTCTGGATGGCATTACCTTGGCCTCCAGTAACGCTGTGAGGAACCTTGGAGTCATTTTTGACCAGGAATGTCCTTCAACGCACATATTAAACAAATATGTAAGACTGCTTTCTTCCATTTGCGCAACATCTCTAAAATTAGAAATATCCTGTCTCAGAGTGACGCTGAAAAACTAGTTCATGCATTTATTACTTCCAGGCTGGACTACTGTAATTCATTATTATCAGGATGTCCAAAAAACTCGCTGAAAAGCCTTCAACTAATCCAAAATGCTGCAGCAAGAGTCCTGACAGGGACTAGAAAGAGAGAGCATATTTCTCCTGTTTTGGCTTCCCTTCATTGGCTTCTTGGCATATAGTTAGGGCTGGACCAGGTGACCCTGAATCCTCCCTTAGTTATGCTGCAATAGATCATAGGCTGCCGGGGGATTCCCATGATGCATTGAGTTTTTCCTTTCCAGTCACCTTTCTCACTCACTATGTATTAACAGACCTCTCTGCATTGAATCATATCTGTTATTAACCTCTGTCTCTCTTCCACAGCATGTCTTTTATCCTGTCTTCCTTCTCTCACCCCAACCGGTCGCAGCAGATGGCCGCCCCTCCCTGAGCCTGGTTCTGCCGGAGGTTTCTTCCTGTTAAAAGGGAGTTTTTCCTTCCCACTGTTGCCAAAGTGCTTGCTCATAGGGGGTCATATGATTGTTGGGTTTTTCTCTGTATCTATGAAGTGCCTTGAGGCGACTTATGTTGTGATTTGGCGCTATATAAATAAAATTGAATTGAATTGAATACACAAGAAAAACTAGAAATATCTTAGTTCTTTGAAGTCACATATAAAGCAGTTTGTGTGCTGCACATCACCCTGGAGCTGACAGGTGTGTAGGTAACCCTCCAATGTATGGACGAGGAAACATCACATTTTGGTGACGTCCGTGGTTTCTAGACTTCAGGGAGACTTTGACAGCAAGTTTTTTTTCATCTGAGTATCAAAGTCTTTAAATTTAATCTTTATGTTTATATTAGCCTCTCATCAGTTTTGAGCCTGTGAAATTTGGGTTCTGCTCATTAAAAAAAAAATGGCTGCATCTCTGAAACTGTTCATGCATTACGTTGTAAAACCCGCTTAATCAAAACTGACAGCCTGCATTTCAAACACATATTGATAGTTGATTTACAGTCCACTGTTGCTGTGGACAGAGGCAAAACTATAAAACTTGTGTTTTTGACCCAAGCATTATGGAGGGCACTGAATGTCACTCAGCAATAACCTATTGGTAGAAAAAACTGACATTGGTAGATGCTTTAGTTGTTTACTTCAAAGCTGAAAGAAAATGAACTTATTTACTTCACCGGAAGAAACTGAATTTCACTAACTGACACACTATGGGGTCTGGTTGCTACATCGGTGTTAGTCTTTTCTGTCTTTAGTGAGATCATGTGTTCCTAAGGCATAGTTAAATTATAATTTCAGCTGAATGTCATAATGTCATAATACCCCATTATGAAAAAGTAATAACGTTTCCTTGAAATTCTTGTTAAAGCCCCCTAAATATAACATGTATGTAAATATTTAACCAGTTTTGAAATATGTTTGTAACATGACAAAATGTGGAACAATTGAAGTGCTGTAAAAACTGCCAAATTGCAGTCCAACCATAAGCCAACATCTAAGTGGTTCGCTGGTGACCTGGTGGATATTCAGGCAAAGCCTGGGTACCTCGCCCAGTATGAAATGCACTATGTAGGAAGGATACGAGAGTACATTTCTGTCCATTATGATCCTTTAAAAACTTTGTTTAAATACCTAAAATGTCACACAATTCTGTTTTTGCTTTAAACAATATCTCTGATGAAAGCATTCTATAAAAGCGATAGAACCCTTTTTTTTTTCTTTTACATGTATATCATGACATCCTACATCACATACATTTGCTTTGTTTCACTTGGCTCCTGTTTCTGCCACCATGACATCTACTTCAAACGGGGGAGTACACTTCATTTGTGAGGAATCATAAAGGTGTTTTCAGCATGATCACTTAGTTTTAATTGTGCTACTACGTGTGTCTGTACCCTTACTGTCTAGGACTCTTTATTTCTGCTGACACATGGGTCATTGTCTGACAGACAGACACACCAACTATTAGCTGGAATTGCCAGAGGATCAGTCACCCCAAGTGCATCAGGTCTATGTAAAAGACAGACCCGGGGCAAAAGGCTGGAAGACCTGACCCAAATCTGTCTTTATACTAGGCCCTACATGTTGCTCAGGGAGCAACTAATAAGATTATTCAAATATCACAATGCAGTCAGCCATATTGGCACTGGTGTGTAGTTGATCCGATGCTTGATTAAAAGGATATGAAGAGAGCAGGAAGATGAGAAGAGAGAGAGATAACGTTCTACAAGAATCCCTAATTGATCTGGAAGGGAAGTGTGCTTAATTGATCTGGAGGATGCTGCACAGGGATGCAGGCACTTTCTGTGTGTGTGAAACTGGGTCGCTGGGGATGTGTAAAGTCTGGAAATTTTTAAATTCACATTGTAAACTAAAGCTAAAGCCAACTAGCACTGTTACGTACACCTGCGAGTTCAGTATACACTCACACACCTTGCCATCAACAACGAGTAAGAAGAGCCCCCCCCCCCCCAAAAAAAAATACATCCAGTGATACCCAGTGTAAGGTACTTACATGCCATATTGCGAAGAAAATCAGGGACACACAGAGGACCAGAGACAGCATGTAGCAGAAGGCAGCAAACGTGAACATAATTGAAAAGGGAAACGTGGATAATTTCCCGAGGAAGCACGATCCTGCAGCCAAACATCTAAAACAAAAGAGAGGCAAGGGGGAAGAAGAAAGAGGGGCAAGGGGTGTATGAAAAGAAAGTTCTCACAGTGCCATAGAAAGCCGAGGCGGTGCTGGCACCATGACTTCGCCCCTCACAATGTTTGCAACAATTTGTTGCAGAAAGCCCCTCTCCGGATGATCAGCTGTGCGTCCACCCAGCAGCACCAGCAGCAGCGAGGCGACTCCGAAGTCAGAGCTGCTCGCAAATCAGTGCATGATCAGTGGTCGCAGTCCCGGCGAGCATAGAAATCACAGAAAGGCGCCGAGACAAGGAGGTGTCCACGCAGAGCCACTCGGGGAAGGTGAATAAGTAGGTAATCCATTCAGCGGCGGCAGGAGCCCTGCTGCTGCGGCCTCTGCGCTGAGCTGCTGTTAGAGAGGAGCCCTGCCACAGTGCACAGCACACAGGCGGCAATAAACGCTGCTCTCACCCTCACAGACCTATCAGCAGAAGCGAGCGGAGCGCGCGGGGAAGAGCTGTGAACAGGTGGATTTAAAAGAGCAGCACCCGGTGTGCGTGCACGTGCGCGCGCGTGCTTGCAGATTCCTCTCCGCACACTCACAAACACACATACAAACACATATACATCGTTTTTTGTTTGCTAAATACTTGTGACCGCTGTGAATTGTTAGCTCTTGTTTGGCTGTGTGTTTGTGAGAGTATTTTTGTCCTTCGACCAAGTCTGTAACCAGCTAAGTGCTGCAACCAGATATACATACCAGCAAACAAAAGGACAGGAGCGAAACATCTTCATGTCGTGGACGGTCTTCAGAGAAAAAGAAAATGTGCACATTATTAAAGCAAGTACTGACTCATGCACACATGTACATAAATACATGCAAACACATGTAATAGTGAAAATATAAATGTCTAAAATGATCAATTAATTTGAAATCACAAGTCATTTCTATCGTAAAGAAACTAATGAGGCCACAGCCTGCAGAACTGATAAACTGTGAGACTAACCCCACCGTCTGGCTCCTTTATAGAATGCAAGCTTTAAATCCTAATGGGGAAAAAAACCCTCAACCAGGTATTTTGCTGTCTGCTGCTCTGCAAAAATATTAATAATAATATTGAGAAAACAGACTGACTGTTAACCATTGTTGAATCCAGCTGTTTGGGTTATCCGTTATTTTTTTCTTCATTCATTAAAGCCACAGACAAATAGCCAAAAGTCCAGAGAGCAAGCAAACAACAGGTGTGTGCTCTCTGAGTTGTTTTTAGCAAAATCACATTGTAATGTTTGATAAGGTCCAATGCTGAGAGTTAGTTTTCATTTTTGTAAGTTTCAGTGTTGATTTTAATCTTTTTGAAAAATGATATCATGGTTTAATTTGTCACAGGTGTGTGTTCACATGCTGAAGAATGTGAGTGTTCACAGCTCCTTTATACGCAAGTGTTAAACTCAGTCTGGCACAGAATGGCTGTGACTGGGTGATGACTTGCATGTTATCATGGTTTGTGTCTGTACCAGTTGTACTCTGTGCTGAGTACTCACACTGACAAATTCAGTCCAATTCAATGTATATAGCATCAAATCACAACAAGGCACTTGCTTCAAGGCTTAAAATATGAAGTGCCTTGAAGCAAGTGCCTAGAGACCCTACAATAATACAGAGAAAACCCCAGCAATCATTTTACCCTCCATGAGCAAGGACATGGTGGCAGTGGGAAAGAAAAACTCATTTTTAACAGGAACCAGGCTCAGGGAGGGACAGTCATCTGCCACGACTGGTTAGGGGTGAGGGGAGGGAGAGGACAAAAGATGAAGAGAGACAGAGATGAATAATAACTAATTTGTTAAATGCAGAGTTGCGTTTGAACACATAGTGAATGAAAAGAGGTAGGTGAAGAAGAAACACTTGGTGCATCATGGGAAAGCCCTAGTAGCATAAGTAAGCATAAAAAGTAGTATAGATTAATTTGACTGAAGAGGTGTTTTTGGTGTTTTTTGAACCTTTTTTCAATGTTACTGAATATTTACTGAGCATTTTTCATGCTGTTTTCTCAGCAGCATGAAAAATGCTCAATAAACTAAAAAGAAGGCAGAACTCTAAATTGCTGTGTTATTCCTTTTCATCAGCATGTAGTCAGTTGCTCAGCTCTCCTGTGACGCTACAAAAAATGACTGCAGTGCAGCTATGATCCTCTTCACCCTAATCACACACACAGACACAAGCATTCACACTCACTTCTGCTAAGCTTTTAGGACTCATCTTTGTCGCTGTGATACTGTGGTGTCACAATGTTATTCTTCCTCCAACAAATGCGGCAATATGATAGCACCGATGGCCACTTTGTGAGAATGTGTCAAAGTGTCAGGCAGAGAGAGACAGGAGGCCGTGAGGATGAGAGGCAGACACCGAGAGAAGTCTGCACATCAGCCAGTGATACAGTGGACTGAGCCATCGGCCAATCAGCCACAACATTAAAATCGATCTCATTATAATGCAATGTACTGCTGTGAAACCTTGGGTCTTTGTGGCATCTTTGTTTGAAAGGTTCCAATCAAGCATTAAAAAAATAAACTGAAAAATGAAGCCAAATGGGGAGTCCCAAAATCTCCAGTTCCTCTAATGACCACTCTAGCAAAGCTCTTGCTTCTGTGTTTGTGACTTTGATGCCTTTTGGAGCACTTGGTCACACCAGAACCTTCATTTTGGTGGTTTTGCGCCATTCACAGGTGGATTTGCTAGTGTGTTTTGGACCGTTGTCTTCTTACATAAGTGTAAGCATAAGTGTGCTTGAGCTTGAGCCTGTCAACCACTAGGCATCAGTGAGCTGGGACGAGCTTTTAATTTTAAAAAAATCATCAGTGCAAATTCTTTGCGTTGATGCTTTGTTTAACGCATGCTCTGTGGCTCTCTGACTTTACCATTTAAATGCAAGCACTTCACCCATATGTGTGACTAAAAGTAGACCTGCAATAGAAATGTGTTTAGAAGCACACATGTTAATACAATGTACTACAATATTAAGACAATGCAGCCTCCATTTTTAACAAAAATGCTGATAACACAACATCAGCAGTGAGAATGATGCTGTCATGGTTTAGCGTGGAGGCGGTGCCTGCATACCCTGCAAAGAGTGAAGAGGCGGAGCTGTTGCTGAAAAGGTGAGCTCAGGTGGAGTGAAAAATGTTTTTTTCTGGCATCAAACCACATGATCAACAAATTCATGATGAAAAGTGAACTTTTTAGCTGCTGCATCCATCGTTTGTTTTATACAGCAAAAGTAAAGCTGCAGAAGCAAGGCCACATAAATAATAAGCAGATGAGGTGTTAACTTAGGCTACGTTCACACTGCAGGTCTTAATGCTCAATTCCGATTTTTGATCAAATCCGATTTTTTTGTCTGCTTGTTCACACTACAAATAAAATGCGACAGCAAACGTGCTCTAGTGTGAACGCTCAAAGCGGCCTGCATGCGCAAAAGAAGACGTCACACACAACGCGCTCTGTTTAGACCCAGAGCAAACAATATTGTTTGACTGATGGCCCTTAATATAAAGACTTCGGACTTTACGTGTCCCAATTTTTGCTTTAACCCCTTAGCAGTCCTATTAGTCCCCTAAACCATCCAATGTCCCGTGGGCGGTACGTCCGACTGCTAACAGTTTAAGTTATTTTTTTTGTTGAGTATTGCAGCATCGACAGCGATCAACTCGAAGGAAAATGACGACGGAGGCAAAAATGTCCTTAATATTTTGGGAACTTTATTCCACATCAACACGCGGCAAAACTTTCCTCATGGGTGCCATTTTCGTTGTGGTATACTTTTTTTTTCTTAGGGGCGTGATGACGCAGCATCCGTGCGCTTACAATGAAACAGTGCCTCCTTGTGGTGACAACTAAAATACTGTCTCTGTTAAACCACAGTAACCAAAATGCAGTTAAACACTGTACAACATGAGTACACACAATGAATATCTTAACATTGTTATTTACATAATAATGTAGATAACCTGATAATTATCCTTATTGCTGTTTTAGAGAGGAGCGGTACTTCAAATAATAGTTGCAGATATTTGTCAGAATCTGCAGATTATACAGTACAAATAAAATGTTCACGTTGTCTTCCCAATAGTTTCACTAACATCTACACTAGATGGCCAGGAAGCGTTCGCGATGTCTTCTCGGGCACTTCTCTGGCACTGATAATTGGCGTCTGTCTTGTGTCAATGACGTAAAAGACGGATTTAATGCGACATGGCCATTCAAACAGCAGTCGCTTTCTAAAACATCGGATATGTATCGGATTCAGTACCACATATGAAAGGCTACGTTCACACTGCAGGCAAAAGGGCATCAAATCCGATTTTTTGACCCTTTTTTTTGCGACCCATATCCGATCATAGTATGACAGTGTGAACGGCACAAATACGATATTTTCAAATCCGATCTGGGTCACTTTCGCATGTGGTACTGAATCCGATACATATCTGATGTTTTAGAAATCAACTGCTGTGTGAATGGTCATGTTGCATTAAATCCGTCTTTTACGTCACTGACACAAGACAGACGCCAATTATCAGCTCCAGAGAAGACATCGCGAACGCTTCCTGGCCATCCAGTGTAGATGTCAGTGAAACTGTTGGGAAGACAATGTTGGAGAAACGTGAACATTTTATTTGTACTGTATAATCTGCAGATTCTGACAGAAATCTGCAACTATCCTTTGAAGCACCGCTCCTCTAAAACAGCAATAAGGATAATTATTAGGTTATCTACATTATTATGTAAATAACAAAGTAACTTAAAGCAAAAATTGGGAAACGTGTCGCATTTTATTTGTAGTGTGAACAAGCACACAAAAAAATCGAATTTGATCAAAGAATCGGAATTGAGCATTAACACATGCAGTGTGAACGTAGCCAAAGTGACTCAGATCGGATTTGAAAATAACGGATTTGTGCTGTTCACACTGTCATACTGAAGGAAACGGTTTCCAGGGCCTAATCCGTGGATCGACTTCCTTCGAGGCGTGGACGTCTATCAGCAGAGAATGTACCTTCACCTACAGCAGAGAATGTCCCTTAGTCTGTAACACAGTCAAATATATTCTCAAGTAATATTCAAGCATGCCATTCAGCGTGTTAGTACGAGCTCGGGAGCAGCTTGGGAGAACAAGAAAACAGAGACTGCTTCAGGTTGTCTTCCCAAAGTGACTCAACTTTATTCACAAGTACAACAGTTTATATAGAGGGTAAAATTCATGAGACAGCAGATTATCAGTTTAAACCAGTACAGACCAAGATAAGGGAGCGTCTTCCTGCCCTTGGGTGAAGAAGCACCCTTTGTATAGTTTATCAGTTCAGCTACAATTGTGATTATCTCAGCGACATATTTTCAAGCACGAAATAAAGAGTTCTTTCATTAGTGAATTCTGAAACAAACCATTTGGCCTTCAACAGGCTCTCCTAAGAGATTAAGAAACTAATGTAGCTGAGGGAGTGATCTCTGTGGTATTTCAACCTTGTACCAGCCTGTGATTCTCACACATCAATTCTTGGGTCAAAGAGAAAAATAACTAAAACAAAGGGGCCTTATTGAATGACAGAGTTTTCCTGCATAATGTCACTATAAAACAATATCCTGTAAATGCTCCCATGGTGCTAAAATACATAACAGTTCCACTCTTTTATTATATTTAAAATAATAACTCAATATAAAGGAAAATCACAAATGTAATAACATAATATAAAGACAAATCATAAATGTGAAGTAAATCATAAATGTAACTGGTCCTTCGAGCAAGCTTAATATCAAAATTCTGGAAGAACCTTCATTCCCTTCTTGGATAACGGAGTAATTCACAACCTAATGCTCAATATATATATCAGGATCATCATTGGTGACATCTGGCACAACATCAGGGTCAATTTGTGCTAATTGTAAATATATTGAGGTAGCTGTACTAGGTGGGTGTCCCGCCAAG